GCTCAATATAAATTAACAAAAAAAACCCTATTTATCCACTTAACTCTTCCAGATCGGGTCCCTGTTTCGGACCCAGCGTACCCGCCCTACCTGAGACGATCACTTGATCTCGTCTCCCTCATTTTGGCCACTAGATGGCCTGCTTCAGCCCGTGTCGGCTGTTATGGCGCCTCTCCCCATCAAGTTAAACTTAGCCGGACATTTCTCTCTTCAGTAGGTGCGTATAATTGGTTGCATTCCTTATAATTATTAACAATTAATGTTTCTTATTTCTTTCTATTTTACAAGGTATCTCCATTCAGTTAATTACGTTATCATGCACGTGAACATTTCTTCCCCAGGTGCGTATTATTGTTGCATATACTTATGATTATGGACAATGTGTATTAGTTTCTAAAATTTCATTTATCTTACAGAATGCATTTTATTTAATTTAACAACCTTAAATGGAACAGGCGACGAAACACTGCAAAGTTATTGCTAGTCGCCGCAAAAAGAAAAAACAAGAATGCAATTATGAGGCAATCGTTGCACCGATTTAGGAACAGTGTAGCCACGCAAATACTTGTAACTGGGTATGTCACGATAATCAGTCGTGCGACAGGTAGGTGATATATATATATTAAATCGCTTAATTCTTCCTTACCCTACCTGAAGAGCTCTCTGGGGGTGGTAAGGGACGCTAGAAAGGGGTAATTCAAGTTAGGTATGTATGTGAGTATTGTTCGCGCAAGTACCAAATTTTTAATTTTTATATTTTATAGGCGGATATGCATAACCTTTGGAGTTTTCCCTCACTGTTCGCACTCTAAAGTGGAGCTTGGCGTAAGTGCCTATGTATGTGTAAATAATTTACAAGCAAAAATAACAGTTTTAACAATTACAAAAAATCTGCTCTCTTTCAGGGAGCACAATCAGGAGTCAACGTCTGACTCTGCGAGGAGGGTCGTGGTCTCGCCTGTGGCCGATTCTTCGCTGTTGGAGCGCGGTCGCTGGTGGCTCGTCTCGCCGTCTTTATGGTTGCGCCGAGGCTTGACTGACGGGCACCGCTGATATCCACTGACGTACGCCACTGAGCCAAATCCTGGCCCTTGGGGTGACTTCGTGGGCCTCTCTGTTGCGAGAGCTGGTCCCGTTGTTGCCGGAGCCGTTTATTTTGTTAATAGTCTTATGATTTTTGTTTGTTCGTCTCGTGTCGCACGTAAGTTTTAAGTTTTTCCAAATTGGGTTTATTTTGACACAATGTTAAAATTTAGATTTTATTAACAAACGGCACAAAATGTAATTTATTGTTTAATTTTAAATTGCGGAAAACTTTTCTAGAAAATTTTATTTTATGGGGCCGACATGTAAAAATATAACTTTAAGCTCGCTTCGAGCTGGCACGTCCGCCGTTGACCGCTGATCAAATCGAACTCTCTGCTGTACATTTGGGCAGCAACATCGGTGCCGCATTTCGGCACACGCATACATTTGCGAGGCGGGCACCGTTGCTGCCCATCTCCACAGCTGCATTTTTTTTTGGGTCAACGGCCCAAATGAAGGCCAAGGGCATATTCAAGGGCAGGCGATCCGCTCTCCCTATAGTCTCTTCAAAAGCGAATCGGGCGGCCTATAGCAACCGCCCCTTTTGGCGCCGTGGATCGCAAACCCGGCGTTGCCACCCTTCAATAAATTGGGCTACGCTGTGGGCCCAGATTCCCACCCCAAACTCTGACCCTATGACAAAAAGATATCGTGGCCGATAATATCGCACGCAACCAACTAAGCAAACAATCGATGCTGCCGATAACGTCAAAAGCAACATCACCACGCAGATTATTGTAAAAGTGAACCCCACCGTTACAATAAAATCTGCGTGCGCATTTCCTTTACTGTTTCGCCCAGCCGGCTAATTAGAATGCCCAACGTAGGCCACACCCACAACCCTGAGTTACAACCTTATGTCCTTCGCATGGAACACTCCCAACACTCCCACTGCTTTCAAGAAAGTGAATTTCGAAAAATAGTTGACTACCACGAAGATCCAAGCGTGCCCTTGCTTCGAACGTGGGTACTTTCCCAGGAAGTCAATATACAGTTTTTGGAATGGTCGCTCGGTCATTTCCTCTTTTCCTAGACCCACTTGCATGCGAAAGTTCGGTGCCTTGACCTTCTTGCATGTCACGCACTGTTTTACCCAATCCCTTATCTGACTAGCCATGCCAGGCCAGTGAAACTGCCAACGTCAAGTCTCGAGTCTCGTCAAGTTTTCACGACACCCCCATGACCAACCGTATCATCTTCATGAGCCTTCGCTATTAAGCCGGCTGTCGACGACCTTGGTACCCACAATTTCCACACGGTGCCTTCTAACTCGACTTCCAAGTCAACGAACCCCATGCGCTTAAAAAGCAAATCCCCCTCAACTTTCAGATCTGGTAGTTTGTCTTGATTCGCTCTTACTTGATCGAGCAACGCCTGATATTCCGCGGACTCGAACTCGGTGGTCTCAAATTCGAGAAGGCCTTCTGAAACCTTTCCCACTGCTTCGACCCTGCGCGATAGAGTGTCGGCTACCACGTTCTCACTCCCTTTACGGTGCTCGATGTTAAAGTCTCCCGTTTAGGTCATTCATGGACATCAGCCATTTTACGCTGGCGTGGTCAGTGATGCATGTGAAGGGCATCCCTTTTATGTTGGTTCTGAACTTTTTTATGGCGATTACCGACGCTAAGCACTCATTTTCAGTGATGGAATAGTTCCGTTGGTGTTTGTTCAACTTGGCTGAAAAGAAGGCTATGGGTCGATCCTGATCCTCAGAGTCTTTTTGAAACAACACCGCTCCACTCCGAACTGAGACGCATCGCACTGCACGAAGAAGGGCTTGGAAAAAGTCAATGGCCAGGTTAAATGCTCGCCAGAAATCGATCCCAAAATAGGCTCGCTGCTTAAGGTACGGGCAGATAAACAACGTTATATTTTTATGCTGCCCCCTGTACGAGATTGGGAGTTCTACCGTACCTATGATCGATTTATCCTCGCCTTCAACAGTTGTGACTACCGAAACGTAAGGTTGCAGCGTAACCCCTAATTCTTCTATTAGTTCTCGACATCCTTTTCCCAGCAGACTGACCGAGGCTCCTGTGTCTAACAAACCTTTCATTTGGATCCCCGCGAATACGCGAGGGTCTAGGCTTTCCTCCCGTTTCACAGCCTCAATGACCTGTTGCCTCGTCATCCTGCGTCTGCGGAAGCGCGCTCTAGCCTTCACCCTTCTTCGGGTGGCTAGCGTCATCCCACCCAGCTGTCGCTCACAAAAAATTATATTTTGGGCCGACATGTATGCTCGAACGCGTTCTTCATATGGTAAGCCTCTTAATGTTCTTCCTATGTTCATTTCCTTACAAATATTCTTATCCTGGTCCTTATGGTTTATATCCGTCTCCTTTTCAATGACTATTGGCTTTGGTAGGTGTTCCTCAATTGTTTTTCCACGGTCGCCGTCTTCGAACGCGTCTGTCCTGCCATCATCGCGATTCCTCTGGGGTTTCCCGGACAATTCTCGCATTGTGAGCGGAATGTATCCGGCTTTCCGCATCTACAGCAGAATATCTTTCGCTCTTTAGACAGGCACTGTCTAAAGACATGGTCGAACTGCGTAAAGTTCCAGCACACTAGTCGGGATGATGTCCTGCCTTGCACTAAGGCCAGTTCTCTAGGCGGCGTTTCCGCACGATGTGGGTGATCTTCAACCTCGTGAAGAGTCGGTTTTGGTCCTTGCGAATAACGCGACTGCTGCACTTACCCGGTCTGGCCTCTGCGACCAATGTGCCTCTCCACTTCTATGCACTCTTGGCGCAGCTCATCCACGGTGAGTACATCCATGGCGTAGATGTATTTTGCCAGGCTTTTCTTCAAACCACGCTTTATGATCTTCACCAGTTCTCGGTCACTTAGCGGCTTCTGGAATCGTGCGGCGAGCTGACGCATGTGATGGATGTAATCATCCACCCCTTCGCTGGTCTGAGAAGACAAATCCTAACACGGGCTAACTTGTCTACGCCTAATCTGGACAGTGGACAACATTTAAGCATTCGTCAAATGCTCAGTTCATTAGTTTGACTGACGAACGGCATTTAAGGAATGCCACCTTGAAGTCTATTTGGCTTCTGTCGCACTTCTGGGAACCTTTAGGGCATGCTGTGTGACAGGTGCGGCGCAGGATCGAATCTACATCGTCCTGGGTCACCTGTCTCCGAAGCTTATATAACTCCTGTTAGCATACGTCCAACATTAACACAACATGAGACAAAAACTAATAATTGAATAAATAACATCTGACAAAACTACCCTAATATTACATTTTATCACGAGATGCCTTTGTCATTGCGGCTACCACCAGGCTACGATAAACGGTCGCGAACTTTTCGCCAACATGCGAACGTAGCTTACCGCCATTAACCACGACAAGAAAAACTTCTCGTGTTTATAGATATTATGATAATCTCTACTTCCGTAATGCTTCTCGGATTCCACTACACGCTGCGCGATTATGAGCCACCTACTCGTGCCACATAAGACTTCAGCGGTGTGGATCCTAAAGCCAAGGGAGACTCTTGCTGTACCTTCACTGATATTTTATTTACCTTTTTTTTTTATTTCTACACCGACTTCGAAGAAGCCGAGTGCTTCTTCAATTTGGGCACCATATTGTTACGGAACTGCTTGCTTCTCGGTGGGCCGCGCCGGCTGGCTCATCGGTTCTCTGGGTGTAGTCCCATCCCTGGCCCGCAGTCCGCACAATCGATATCAACAAAACTACAGCGTCTGTAGCAAAACATACCTATACAATACTATTCAAAACGAGCCACATTATCGATAACAACAAACAATCGGAACTTCTAACAAATGAACAACACTAACAGCTGTAACAACAAGCAAATGTAAACAACAAATTGAGACGCTCAATATAAATTAACAAAAAAAACCCTATTTATCCACCTAACTCTTCCAGATCGGGTCCCGGTTTCGGACTCAGCGTACCCGCCCTACCTGAGACGATCACTTGATCTCGTCTCCCTCATTTTGGCCACTAGATGGCCTGCTTCAGCCCGTGTCGGCTGTTATGGCGCCTCTCCCCATCAAGTTAAACTTAGCCGGACATTTCTCTCTTCAGTAGGTGCGTATAATTGGTTGCATTCCTTATAATTATTAACAATTAATGTTTCTTATTTCTTTCTATTTTACAAGGTATCTCCATTCAGTTAATTACGTTATCATGCACGTGAACATTTCTTCACCAGGTGCGTATTATTGTTGCATATACTTATGATTATGGACAATGTGTATTAGTTTCTAAAATTTCATTTATCTTACAGAATGCATTTTATTTAATTTAACAACCTTAAATGGAACAGGCGACGAAACACTGCAAAGTTATTGCTAGTCGCCGCAAAAAGAAAAAACAAGAATGCAATTATGAGGCAATCGTGTCACCTATTTAGGAACAGTGTAGCCACGCAAATACTTATAACCGGGTATGTCACGATAATCAGTCGTGCAACAGGTGATATAGGTGATATATATATATTAAATCGCTTAATTC